TTGAGAGAGCTCATTGAGCAAGCCCTATGTTGTCGTCTATTGCATTTTTCAATTTCCTCCCCTAAGTCATAAAGTAACTACTCTAGTGAAGGCTGGCAAACATAGATCCGTCCCTACAGGTTTTTAAGCATAAAATCATACAAAAACTTGTCATCTTGAACACTAAAGGGTGTTGTTCAAAGAGGGGTCTGATTATGACTCAAACTATGTTTTCAAAACTCATAAATGATTTTAAAAAAAAATTATTTTAAAATCACCTAGGAGTCATAGTTGAATTGCTTCTAATTCCATTTTTATCCTAATCAACCTAAGTTAAAAATAATTAAACGTTCTTCTTAGGTGTTTAGTTCATTACCTTATCCTAAGCATGAAAGTGCATACAAAGGTTGAATGTTGTTACTTTGACGCTTGATCTCCTCCCTTCAATGACGCTTTCAGATCTTGAACTTGATAGCATCATGACCATGGAATAGGTTGAGATTTATAATGGACTCCATAAAATTAGTCAATTATAAATATGATCTAACACCTTCAAACTTCTTTTGAAGCTCAAAACTAAGTCCGTTTTGTGCTATGCGAACATATTCCATTTCAGGCAAGGCCAACCGGCACATGTTCCTTGCTTTCTTGAAACGAGCAATATATTGCTCTGTAGTCTCTAAATCGACCTATTGTCAGGTCATAAAATCTTGATTGTTCAAACGACTCTAACGAAGCGCAATGCTACTTCTAAACTCTTTTCTCTACCTTGGGGATCAAAGACTTTACTAATTTCCAATCAAGCAACTTAATGAACTAAGATTTGGGAAAGAACTACTAGGATTAACAACAAGAAAGTAAATGGCAAATATAATTGTGCAAACTAGTGTACTCTACATTAATCAAAAGGAAGATCACCGGAGTGACGGTTTACACGGTAAAGAAAATTTGCAAAATAAACTAAGTAAAGGAGATGATGGCTTTGTGCTTTGTTGTCTGTTAATCGCTCTCTATAGCCTCTCTTTCGGTATTTATAGGGGATGACCTTAATCATCAAGACCATCTTTCTAGCCATGACTACAATCATGACATCTTCTCCTAATACTCTTAGATGTGCACTGAACCGTCTCCAACTGAAGGCTTATGATGTCACATCTCCTTATTTTTTGGGATTCATGGAGTCCTATTCTCTCAACCCTCTTGTTGTATGTGGACTCTCTCTAACTTTATTTTGACCGTTGGATCTTTGTCATGTGTCGTTCTCAAATTTTGATGTTTGGGTGTAAACAATATCAGAAACAAGATTAGCCAACCATGGTTAATTTTTTGGCTCTAATTTATTAAACATGGTCAAGGATGTTTTTGAAATTTCATCATCTCAATCATTTTCGTCAGCCAGGTTGCTCACTTTGGAACTTGAGTGGGCAAATTGTTCAACAGGGACCTGATTGAAACAAGGCCCATAGTTTAAGGGAAAAATTTGTAATTAATCCTACACATAAATATAATATGTAGCTTGTGACTTAACTCTTTGATTGTGTTTACATATTGTCATGTACACNGAATAGGTTGAGATTTATAATGGACTCCATAAAATTAGTCAATTATAAATATGATCTAACACCTTCAAACTTCTTTTGAAGCTCAAAACTAAGTCCGTTTTGTGCTATGCGAACATATTCCATTTCAGGCAAGGCCAACCGGCACATGTTCCTTGCTTTCTTGAAACGAGCAATATATTGCTCTGTAGTCTCTAAATCGACCTATTGTCAGGTCATAAAATCTTGATTGTTCAAACGACTCTAACGAAGCGCAATGCTACTTCTAAACTCTTTTCTCTACCTTGGGGATCAAAGACTTTACTAATTTCCAATCAAGCAACTTAATGAACTAAGATTTGGGAAAGAACTACTAGGATTAACAACAAGAAAGTAAATGGCAAATATAATTGTGCAAACTAGTGTACTCTACATTAATCAAAAGGAAGATCACCGGAGTGACGGTTTACACGGTAAAGAAAATTTGCAAAATAAACTAAGTAAAGGAGATGATGGCTTTGTGCTTTGTTGTCTGTTAATCGCTCTCTATAGCCTCTCTTTCGGTATTTATAGGGGATGACCTTAATCATCAAGACCATCTTTCTAGCCATGACTACAATCATGACATCTTCTCCTAATACTCTTAGATGTGCACTGAACCGTCTCCAACTGAAGGCTTATGATGTCACATCTCCTTATTTTTTGGGATTCATGGAGTCCTATTCTCTCAACCCTCTTGTTGTATGTGGACTCTCTCTAACTTTATTTTGACCGTTGGATCTTTGTCATGTGTCGTTCTCAAATTTTGATGTTTGGGTGTAAACAATATCAGAAACAAGATTAGCCAACCATGGTTAATTTTTTGGCTCTAATTTATTAAACATGGTCAAGGATGTTTTTGAAATTTCATCATCTCAATCATTTTCGTCAGCCAGGTTGCTCACTTTGGAACTTGAGTGGGCAAATTGTTCAACAGGGACCTGATTGAAACAAGGCCCATAGTTTAAGGGAAAAATTTGTAATTAATCCTACACATAAATATAATATGTAGCTTGTGACTTAACTCTTTGATTGTGTTTACATATTGTCATGTACACTGATTCCAATCTCAGAATCTTTCTGATGGTGATTCTTCCAAGTGGGGAACAATACCTGTCTTTTGAAGTATGTGAGAGTTTCATGGTGAGGATGGATATTTTGGAGGTGAGAATAGCCCACCATTTTGGTCTTTTGAAGAGGCGGTGATGAGGGTAATTGTTGAGAGGAGGGATATAGAGAGGAGAAAGAAGACAGTTAGAGAGAGAGAGAGAGAGAGGGAGAGCAAAGAAACTTCAAGAAAAAAATGACGGTGGCCATCATAGTGAAAATAGAAATGAGGAATTTTCAGGCCATTTATGACAACAGTCAACGTCATTGCCGAGTCATATTTGACTGACCAAAAAAAGATAAAAATAAGTATCAAATAATGTGACATTACTATAATGGTATTATTGGTTTCGCTTTTACATATTCGAAATTTAAATTTGTCTCATTATAGTAATGTTACATGATTTGGTATATATTTTTGGTCTATAGCACAACTACGTCATCGTCCGTTTACACTAACCCATAAATAAAAGGAGGTTAATATTGCAAGTATAATAATATTACTGTCACCAGGCCGAAGTTTGAAGAGGTTGGTTGTTAGCAAAATCAACCTAATGGTAATTGCAACTGGTATATTGTTTTTATTTTGTTTCTTAGCTGGTGTTGTACCCTGGTCATTAAGTTTCCATGGAGGCATAGAGTTATGTATGCAAAAACGATGAGTGTTTGCCCAGCTATTGCGTGAAAAACTCAACCTGGATTCGAAGGAATTGACGGGGGAGTACGGTCGCAAGACCAAAACTTAGAGGAATTGACGGGGTCTGCATAAGCGGTGGAGCATATTCTATCCTAATGAACCCACACCAAGATTTGGTGTCCCCTTGTTAGTATTGTGGGAAGAGATTGTGTGACATAACTTCCTTCTCCTTCTATTGCCTCTCCATGTATTTTATCACTTAGCAGTAATAAAAATTTCCTGATAAAAATAGAGCAGCAAAGAGAAGTGCTGAAAACATAAGGAAGGAGCAAGGGCATAGCTTGTGCATCCGCTCTGTTTTTCTTTAAAAAGAAACAACTGAGAATCAGTTCTTAAAAACGGACTCAAGAGTTTTAATGAACAGCAAAGCTGGCCTAAGGCTCTGTGAATCTGAAAACAAAGATGCAATTATATCCAAAAGTTCATGGCTTAGACTTTTGGATTTTGGCCTTGCACCATGCTTCTAAACTTTAAAAAAAAAAAAAAAA